GCCCCGACCACCCTTGGCGGGGGCCTCCCGCCTCCTCCAGCACTTAGGCCCCTGGGGCTCCCTTGCTGTGCCTTTGTGGAGCCTGGGGGCTGCCTGGCTGCCCTGGCCACTCCCAGGCTCCTCGCCTCACCTGTGGCACGGGGCTGTGATCGCAAGTACTCACACGGTGGTCTTCCCACTCCTGTGTCGCGTGGACACGAATGGTGGCTGGCGTTAGAGACTGTGCAGTGCTCTGTCTCGGGAGCCTCGGTGTGCCAGGCTTCGACGACTGCCAGAGGGTGGGCGTCTTAGGCAGGCCTGGTAGAAGGAGAAGGGCGTTTTCATGCCCCTCCACCTGTGGGCCTCGTGTTTCTCAGGCAGGAGTCATGCTGGTGTTGGGTGAAGCTGAGTGTGGGGGACTGGGGGGTGGGGAGGGAGGGAAGGGGGCTCATGCAGCCTCTTCCTCTAGGGAACCGTCACGTCCTGTGACCGCCTGTTCGCCCACCTGCACGGGTACGCATCCGGGGAGGATGTGGTTGGGCAGCGTATCACAGACCTCATCTCTGTGCAGCTCCCTCCTGCTGGCCAGAGTGTCCCCCAGGTAGGGCCCTGGCCCACACCCTGTGCAGGCGGCCCAGCGCTGGCCCCAGCTCCTCCCTCGCCCAGGCCTTGGCCCCGTCATGGGGCGTCTGATTGTCCTGCACGCACTGCGTCTGGGCCGTCCTGTGCTGAGTCTTCCGCTGCCACTTCCTGGGCTTCTGTGCGTGCCAGGGGTGGCGGGTTGAGGTGCCCCGGGCTGCACAGGCTCGGTTCTCCCCACGAGTGGGTGTGGGAGCACAGGCTTGGTTCTCCCCACGAGTGGGTGTGGGAGCGCTGCATGCTGGGTAGCAATGCTCATTTCTTCCAGAACCTCAAGATCCAGAGGTCTGTTGGGAGGGCCAGGGATGGCACCACCTTCCCCGTGAGTTTAAAGCTAAGTCCTGAGCCCAGCAGCAAGGAGACACAGGCCCTCCCGGCAGCAGCCGGCGGCTGCTTGGCTTCCGTCTGGGCGTTCTGCACTATCAGCGGCCTCATCACCCTCCGGCCAGATGGGACCATCTATGGCGTCAACCACAGCTTTGCGCTCACGCTGTTCGGCTACAGCAGGGCTGAGCTCCTGGGCAAGGTGGGTCCTGGCATGCCCTGCTGCGGGGTGTGCATCTGCAGGGTCCCCGCTGTCCCAGCGCTGCCTTCTCTGGTTGCAGGACCCTCCTCATGGCCACACGGCTTTCCTCGGAGCGCCACACAGTGACTTCCTTGGGACCATCTCGGGCCCCAGAGGTGCGAGGTTGCCGTGATCCCAGGAGCTCTACCTGAGGGACTGGACAGGGATCCTCAGGTCACGGGGGACTGTGTGGCACCCTGCAGACCTGGCTGGCCTCTTGGCCGCTGAGTGGCAGCTGCTCAGTGGGAGCAGGAGGCTTCTGTGGCCTGGCTTCTGGGTTGGGCTCTCAAGCCCCCAGCATGGAACAGGGGTTGTCTGCCTCCCCAGAAGCGCCTTCTTCTCGCCTCCCAGGGCCCTGCTATCTGTCCCGCTGTCAGTCATGCACACTCGGCACTTTGAGGTGCTCGCTCGCGAGCCTGGTCCCACCTGGCTCGCCAGGCGCTAGCCGGGGACCCCCAGCCTGTGGCAACGCCCTCTGGGCCGGGCTCGGAGGCCTGCTCAGCTTGGCCGGATGGCCCAGGTGGCCCAGGATACCTTGTGGCCCCTCATCTGGGCCCTGAGTCACGAGGCGTCATTTCAAGCCCTTCCCTTGTCTAGGTGGCCCTTGTGGCAGCCTGGGCTCTCCAGAAGAGACACAGCCTCCCTTGGTGGAGGGGCTGTGAGGAGGGCCCGGTGGCGGTACCCTGGAGCCTTCCCGTCCCACTGTGGACGTCCCAGTGTGGGCGGCCCCTGCTCGCCTACCTGGCCCAGACAGGACCGCAGGCTTCCCTGGCACCGTGTTTGCGCCAGACCTGCCTTGGAGGGAGGGAGGGGCTGCTGCCCTCCTCTCACACCGGGACCGTCGCTGGTGCCCCGGTGGCCAGGAGAACCCGCCAGCCTTGCTTGGATCCAGTGAGGTGCCTGTTCTCTGGCAGAATGGTGAAAAGTAGCTAGGCTGCGTTTTAGTCATGTCAGTCTTACTCTTCTTCTTTCTTCCTTTTTTATTTTTTTTTATGAATAAGCTTTTGAACTCTTTTAGTAAATCTTATTAATTATTATTTTTCAATTTGACCAGAGAGAGAGAGACAGAGAGAGGGAAAATGAGAAGCCAAACCACCAAGTCCGGGACTCGAACTGTAGTTGGCCATGTAGGAGTCCAGCGCCTTAACCACCATACCACTGACCAGTCCCAGTCACGTCAACTTTAAGTTAAATTTAATTAAAAGAGGTTGGTGTGGGCAAACCCATGGCATAGTCAGGGCAGCTGGATCTCACGTGGCCGACGGCAGGGTTCGAGTCTTGGACTGGAAGCCTGAGAAGCAGCAGGTGTGTGCGTGTGTGCGGGGTGTGCCCTAAACCTGAAAGCAAGGAGGAGTGGAGATGGGCGTGCAGCGAGGCCAGCCCCCGGTGCTTCCGCTCTCTCCCCCACCCCGCCTCTGCGTGTGCTCCCAAACAGATTTTTAAATAGTGGATGAGGGTCCCCATAGGACGTCTGGTGCTCCCTGTGGGTCCTCACACCCCTGCGAGATCTGTCTGCGTCCTCCTGGCCACAGCAGGTTCAGGGAGGCAAATACAGGGTCCTGTGGCTTTCCCCACCTTTTCTAAGTGATGGGGGAGCCAGGGAGAGGGAGGGAGGGAGAGAGGGAAAGGGGGAGGGAGGGAGAAGGGGAGGGAGGGGGAGGGAGAAAGGGAGGGAAGGAGGGGGAGAGAGAGGGAGACAAAGAGGGGGG